GAGGAGGAGGAGGAGGAGGAGGAGGAGGAGGACGAGGAGGACGAGGAAGAGGACGAGGAGGAGAACAAGGAGGACGAGGAGGAGAACAAGGCGGACGAGGAGAAGGACAAGGAGGACGAGGAGGAGGACGAGAAGGGGGAGGAGGAGGAGGAGGAGGACGACGACGACGACGACGACGACGACGACGAGGATGACGACGATGAGGACGACGATGAGGACGACGAAACTGAAATAAAAATGCGCAGTCCAATTTAAAAAGAACAACCTCATCCACGATGTGAGTGAGGCAGCTGCGCGCTGGCCGGATTACCTCGAATACAGGCGTACGGATTCTAGTATGGTCAGAGTTTAGTGCACAGACTACATAATACTTTTACATCACTGCGTTTGCTCCCAATAGTAACCAATCACAAATAGGCTTAATGTACCTCGGAACCCCCTCCAAACGGTTTCCCCTCCGCAGGATTATGCTCCATCCCGGTATTTCTATATCTATGGCGCAGATAGAGATATATTTCTTTCTTTGTTCGTAGCGTTCAGTTCCTCTTACTGCACACGCTTGCACTACATCATAACAACGGCTCCCTTCAGTCGAATTCCTCCAATCTTCCTGTAACTAGCGTTTCGCGTTAGATTGGTTAGGTTTTGTTAGGTGCGTAAAATTGCGCACTTGCGCAGTGAGGAGAGCTGGACGTTATAAAGTGAGAAAGAAATATACACATGCCCGAACATGTCTCAACATGGCCACTTCTTACTGCGCCATTCCTTTTCCAAGAGTATCCTTCTTCCTTCCTTTCCTTATGGCTGTATCCCCAATGGGGGACATGTGCCAGTAACTGGTCCTAATAATCAAGGTTGGAAGTTCGACACTAGATGGCGATGTACCTTGCGAGATGGGCCTTATTCAACTCAGCGTGAGGGGACCTACAAAGTTTATACACCGAATCCGAACAGTGTTGGGCGAAATCCGTATAAATACTCACTTAAGTTTTCATATGAAAACCCATTGGTGAATGCCGCTGGAAGCTGGGCGCGAACCTCCAACCTTTCGGTCGTGAATCCGCTACCCTATCCTCTGGGCTACGGCCGCCCCAACTTTTCCAAGAGTATAAGTTCTATGACTGGCACGTGTCCCCCATTGGGGATACAACCATAAAGAAAGGAAGGAATGAACGTCAGAAGAAACTGCGGGTAGCGACATCAGGCGAGTTTGGATGGAGTTAATCTTGATCAATCTTGATCTGATTCATCTGATTTCCTGAGTGTAGCAGAGAGACACGCGATTAAACGCAAAAACTGACAAGTATAAATAAAATTGTGTGTAAAAAAGGTATCTGTGTCGTAAATGGCGTCGGCTTATATTAAGGATGAGCAAGGTAAACTCGCGCCGTGGCTGAAACTGCTTGTCGCAATCGTATATGCTACAAGCTAGAACTAACCTCAGTCATGTAAACAATTACCTTATATGTCGTATGGCATTGGCAATTTTTTTACGAAGATATATCATGATCTCATTGGATTTGTTTCTATTTATGAATCTAGCGAATTCTCTTATATGAAAACTTAAATTTCGATGGTTCTGAACTCGATTCTCAAATTGGTCGTTAATCGCTTAAAAACAGAAATTGAACTGAATCCAATTTATAAAATCTTGCTCTTAATTAATGTCATTATTAGAATAAAATATAATTTCTAATAATAGACTATGGTAAAACTGTAGAATACAATTCCTTCATGAAGAGTTTCATGTAGAAAAACTAATCAATACACAGTTAATTTCAAGAAGGAGTCGTATTCTGCAGTTTAGTTTTAGGATTTCATACAGTAGATTATGTGTTGCAGGATACACATATATTAATGTAAGACAAACACGTTATGTCATATAGGAGGTATTTAATAATTTCTCAGGAGGCACATTCATCCCTGCTAGTCAACGGCCAGATGGTACATGGCGTAAACCACGTAGGGTAAAAGATGGCTATGTACCTCAGGAAGAAGTTCCACTGTATGTACATTCTTATTGGTACTTGCACTATTGTCAGAAATACTAAATATATTGTTGTTCATTCTCTTAATTGTATCCATTTATCATCTGCCATCTTGAATCATAATATGTATATTTAACGAGCAATATTTATATACAAAAATCTGTTAGACATGATTAATTTGACTAGTGTATTTGTTTTATTGTAGGTACGAGAGCAAAGGTAAACAATTTGTTAAAAACTTGCCAACATATCCTATTGGTATGAGCCCAGAATATGTGGCAGCCCATAAGGCTAAGCGTGAAGCTCAAGTAAAAACTTCACTAATTCCTGGTTTAATGATTCAAACGGAAACCAAAAAGAAGAAAAAGAAGAATAAGAATAAGAGTGTGGAATCAGTGAGCAAAGATTTATCTAAAACTACAATATCTGAGCGTGAAATGATTAGTAAATCACCTGTCGAAGCTAGTGTGGATCCAACAAAAAGATTGCGAAACCTCAGAAAGAAAATCCGAGAGATAGAGGCCTTGGAATTAAAAATCAAGAATGGAGATATCAAAAGTCCTGAGAAGGAAGTCGTTGATAAAATTTCGCGAAAAAAGGAAATCCAGCAAGAAATAAAACAGTTCGAAGCCAAACAGTAGACAACGTTAACTCATTTCTACATTGGTACTTTGTTTTGTAACTTGTGTCACTGATTCTGTGGAAAGTGAGCATTACCCAAATCCACTGTGTAGCACTGGCATAGAGACATATTTTACTGACTTTTATTTTCTCTCGACTCGAATGGCATTTTAGTGAATTGTTCGAACATTTGTCCTTTGTAGAACGACTCGACAACCTATTGAACTGTACATTTATACGTGAAAATTAAATATAATTATTACTACTTTTAGCGTGTCGCATTAAAAATATTTATGATCGTAGTCGCACGTTACGAACACTGCCTCAATAATAAAATCTTTTTTTATATTAATAATTTACATAATTTTATAATATTCACCCTGTTGTATATACGGTATACAAAAACTCAGAGTATCTTCACAGTAATTTTAGATTACAAAGAACAATGGAATTTCGGTAGAAATCCAACTGGACGCTCTAACAAAAATATTTATAAGTTTTTTATGACAGACAAGTGACACGACTGAAATTTCATAAGAGATGATTGCTTGTTGCTGCATAAAATTATATGTAATACTATTATTGTGTGTTGTGGCCTTAATACCAGCGTCCATTCTGTTCATTTACAATCCTCATTGGCTAGCAACTAATAAAGATCTTAAAATGGCCGAAGGCGACAAGAGATTCGAACTCGGGGAGGTACATTGACGAATAAGCACAAGTGTATAAAATGTATATTTGAATATTCTTATATCCATGTATACACTGAGTAATACTGTAATTTTGATAAGACCAACAAATTTATTTAAATGTTGAACTTTTTAAGTTTCTCGATTAAAAACAGCGTAAACCACAAGAAAAACTTTCATCTATTAAAAGGGTATTTAGCGAACGTAGCGAACGTAAGCGATTCGTTAAATTTGCATATATATTTTAATAATCATATACTACATAATACAGTATAATATACAATGCAATCTAGTATATCTGTAAAACTCAATCGTTGTCCTTGTATGGTAAATGGCTATGTTTTCACCAGAGTCAATGAGAGTGCAAATTTATAATTGAATGTATATCAGTATTAGTCAACACATGTATTTAATTTTTCAACTCTGTTTCAGTGGAAATATAGTCAATAATGTACCTCACATGATACAATAATACAGTAATACGATTCTAAATATTGATTTGAACAATTTCGTCCTGGTACAGAGATTCAAACGTGTTACAATTGGCTGATACGAAAAGTATATAAAAATCTTATAGTTCCATGGTCAAAGAAAGTCTTTAAAAGGAAGAAGCCCTGCATAAGTTTAATAAGGTAAATAATAAGAATCAGCAAAGTAAAGAAAATCGTTTGAGATAAGTGTATCAGTGGACACATGTTCCGGTTGCAGGACACTACTTCAAATATTTCGATTTATTAAGCTTTCTACAAATAAAAATGCAAACTTAACACTTGAGAGGGTATCTGAGATACGTAATTGATATATGTATAGGGAAAATATCAAATACAATTCCATGTGGATTATAATATAATTTTAAAACTTTATTCAAGCTTTAACGTTATGGAGGCAGTTGCAACCTATTTCTTAATGCAAATAGCAATCGATAATAAATGATGAAGACTTTTTACCATCGTATCGTTTAGCTATTAAGTATTTTCGTGAAAAGTTATGGTTCATTCTAATTAGGAAGAAATAGGGTATCACAAATTGCCATTTAACTTTCCGTAAAAATAGTTTTACCAACATCATTTTGGAGTTGTGTTATGCGAGCACACAAATTATATGCTCTACGGATGTCGAGATTCTGTTTAGCCAGTGGTACATCTCTGTGAATTTGGATAGGTGTAGTAATCAAAAATTGTATATTTACTTTGTGTCTAGTGTTCAGAATTAAGGTAAGTAATTCTTTATTGAAAAATTAGTTAAACCGTACTTATATATTATATTATGTGTACAGTAAGTACTTATTATTGACATTATATATTTCATAAACTTTGGCATGTATAATTTGTATTCCTAAAATTATTTATTTATTATCAATACAGGCTATGACTCTTTTGAAGCTTGCTTTAATCGAGATGTCGACTGAATTTTAATATTAAAATCTTTATTTTCAAGCCTAAAAATTGGAAAGTAACTTCTTCCTGACACAACCCCTTGTACGAAAGAAATTATTTGGACATTTTTCTTGTCTTGTATTTGACAGAACCAAATATCCAAGTGTCCGGAAGAGTGATAGCCGTGCAGAATATCGCGGTATTCGAATTTTTTAAAAATATTTATGTAACTCATGCATGAAAAACACTACTTTTCGTGCCTCCGAAGCAGAGATGAGTAGGGAGATTGCCAATGAGCCTGTTTTTGGTGGTCTCAATTTTTCTTTGGTTTCGGCGCGCCACCTTAGCGGAGGGCCCTCGAAGCAGTTCCACGTTTTTGATTGGTCGTGTATATATAGTAATACTACGCGTGATAATCTGGAGCTGTGTTTTGGCGCGTCGACGCGCCACCTGAACGAGATTCTCGAACTAGTTCCACGTTTTTGATTAGTCGAATGAATTCGTGTGTTCCTCGAGATCCACGATTTTAAACCGGGTGAACATTTAAATAGGGAGACTTGTATCCAACTTTTTTTTTACAGGATATTACATAAACCGTAGTAATAAGGTAGTCAATACCCTTAATATCCATATGAAGCTCTGGAAATAATAGAGTAAGCAAATAAAACTTAAAAAAAACTCTCGAACGTGGGTAACTACACAAATATAAGTTTGCTAAATAATATACCACAATGACTCGGTAGCACACGTACTTGGTGCTGGATTAACGTCCGAGAGTCTCGAGTTCGAAACTACATCTCAGCCCTTTTATTTTTTTTTCTTAATTATCAACTATGCTTATTAGTTCACCTAGTTAACTTAAGATTCATTAAATATATGATTATATTAATCTACAAATATTGTATTATATTACATCGTATACATCCAAAAAGTTGGTACATGAATCAGCGAACGTTTCTTCTTCCCGAGAGCCTACCTGTGACAAACACTTATGGTAGGCTGTTTCCTTTTTTAATAGCATAAATAATATTCAGACGGATAAAGAAGGCATTACGAAAAAATACCAAAAACAAAATTGCAATTATAAATCTCGGG